TTAATTCAGGAAGAATTGCTTGAGTGCTATGGTGCCCATCAAGACAGTTTAAGAAAATAAGAACTTAGTCCATAGAGGGGAATATCATCACATGTAGAGTTTTTGGGCAAGGAGAACCAAGACACTGGGTCAAAGTGTGGTCTTTCAGATTTCCTGCTCATAGCATAAGAGAAGATTAAACTATCAACCTGACAAATAAAAGGTTTTAAGCTTTTGAAAGTCAAGGTGGTGGAAAGGCTTTACCTATCAGGATTTCCATTCAATAGCTGGTAGTGACAGGCTTTCTCCTGGAAAGCCCATTTCCCAACACATGGCAGCAGAAAAAACAGAAAAGAAAATAATCTTAGAGCGGTAAACACCAATAGTCAATCCAGTCCCATATCTAGCATTGGGATTTAGTCTCCCTTGTTGATATTACTGGGACAATAATGTAAGTAAAACTTATGATTGGTGGTGAGTTTGGAACTCAGAGGAAGGACTGTTTTAATTTTCTCATCTTAGCAAAGTGTTATTAACTTTGTGCAAAAATAAATTCAAGTAAAGAGGAATTTTCTCCCTAGGATTACTAATTTCGTATACAATAATTCACAAAAGCTAAGTCTCTGGTGGCATATTTTCCAAATTCTGTTGAGTGAGGACCAATTGAAAAAATTCAGAGCATAGCATATCACACATTCTTCATCATCTACATCTTTCTCCAATTTTAAGTGACTTAAGTTAAAGTTTTTCAAAACTTTATCTGTCCATCAGAAAAGAGAAGTAAGCTGTTAACTTTAATTTCTCCACAATTTATACTCTTTTTGCCTAATATAGTATTGATGTAGAAGACTCAATTGTACCACAAATGCAGATTGGGCAAAATCTCAGGAATCCTTACTTTCTTGAATGACGTACCTCAGTTCAAACTTGAAAATTCTTCCCATGTTTTGTGAGGGGTATTTTTCAGTGCCATCCACCTTATTTACACCTGAATCTTCTGCTTCTCTCTAAGTTCTTCCACAATACATGCTTTCTGCTAAATATTGCATAGGGATTTGTTGGGGGTTTTTTCTTATATGTTGAGTCTTCTGCTGTTTTTGTTGTAGAGATTCAGTTCAGTATTTCTTAGCTGCAATCTGTAGTTCCAGGAAAAAGTTCCTTGTTTGTTCTGCTTTTTTGTTTAATTATTCATGAAGCTTCCTCTGCCTATTGTGCAGTATCATTTTTAAATTTTACCCCCAGAGTTTTCAGTGAAGGAAAATATGGACTCTGTTGCTTAAGTGATGCTGAACAATTATAAAAAAAAGAGAGAGAGAGAGAGAGAAAAATACATAAGAAAACCTTTATAAAAATATATTAAATTGTGTTCACTAAACTAGAAAATAAAAATTGATTTCTAGTCAAATAAATTGAAACTAATACATTCCAAAGCCTAAGGGGAATATAATGCTTAATTTTGCAACATGTCACAACCACAACACTTCCACATTTGGAAAGTCCCCAAAATGTAATATATTTCCAAGAAATAGTTCCTAATTACTAACTGATTATTCTAAGGCTTTTGAACTAAATCTAAGAAAGGCAACTTTTCCTTCTTACAAACCAAGCTGTAATTTCTAGTAGACAAAATTTCAAATGTGGAAAACCACAACAGTCTAGTTAAAAAAGCATTATTGTTCCCATTCCGACTTGCAGAGCTTTCTGCTCACCCAATAGAGGAAATTCTGAGAATATTCCATTGTGTAAGTTTTCAACTGGCTCTTTCCTCCTGCACGTCAGTTCAGAAACCATAGAGAGCAATGTTCAATAGACTATCCATTTTCTCCAAATTAAAATTCCACAAAACATAATGGTCCCTATTGGAAATGTCAAAAAAAAAAAAAAACTAAAAATGCTTTACAAAGAGAGAGGTCATAGCAGTTCAAAGGTTAATAGCCAAGCTTTAGAATAAATATTCCAGTTTCCTATCCTCTAAGTGGAATTAACTCTGACGCATGCACCTTCATTCAACCTGTGTCCTCAAATTCCTTAGTAGAAATGAGGTCCTGTTGTCCATTTTACTAGTAAGTGGCTTTATAATGATGCTTTGTTGGTCGCTTCCCTTACCTAGCTTCCTCACTCCCTTATCAGTGCCTTTCTGGTGATCACCTCCCAAATAAAGTACTCACACTAAATCTTTGTCTTAGAATCAGCTTCCTGGGGAACCCAAATAGAGATATACCTCAATATCTCTCCATATTGCCTTTTCCATCAGAAACATCCATTGTATTCCAACCTCCTCAGAGCACTGAATCTTGCACTCACCAACCCAAAAAAGCAGTCAGTTTTCCATGTCCCAAACTCTCCCCACCTCCCCACAAGTAAAACTTGTCATTCTTGTCTTCATGCTGTTAATACTCTGATCTTTTCTGAGATCCTAAACAAATAAATTAGAGCATGATGTTTGGATTTTTTTAAACAACATAGTAAGGGAGTCAAAAGACCTTGTCTAGGTTTATCACTAGGTTTATTTGGTGATTCAGTCAAAGAACCCTCCAGGCTTAAGTTTTTCGCTAATGAAACAAAGGCAGCACTGCTTGATGGATGGCTGCAATAAGGAAGAGGGTACACAAGCACTGTGGTTTGATTGTGAAATGTCTCCACAGGCTCATGTGTTGAGCATTTGTTTGCCAGCTGGTGGCACTATTTTGGGAGTGTCTGTGAATGTGAGGAAGTAAATCACTGGGGCATGCTTTTGAAGGATATAAATGGTCCCTGTTCCCTGGTCCCTGCCTCATTCTCTGCTTCCTGTCCACTCTGAGATGAGGAGCATGTTCCTACATACCCTTCTGCCACCATGATGTTTTACCTCACCAGGATCCTAAAGTCACTGGATCCAAGAATTATGGACCAAACATCTGAAACCATGAGCTTAAAGGGAATCCTTTATTCCCTTAAGTTATTTATGTCAGGTTATCATGGTGACACAAAAGTAACAAGCACAAGCCCTTGAGAATTTGAAAACTTTAGATGAATAGGACACCACCTTCCAACAACCTTTCCATTTAGGAGTTGCCTTACAACAATATAGTACAATGTTTCAAAACTCAGGCATTCAAAGGTAGGGTCGGGACTTGAGAATACAGGAGACCCACTTCTAGTGGGGACACAAATGGATGCACTTTTTCCAGACAGCAATCTCAGCAGACTTAGTGAAATTAAACAACAATTCGATATATTCCCAAGAAATTCTAATAAAGGTACACAAGGTGGTACACTTGGATACATATCATACTGGTTTGTGATTCCAGGTGATAACCTGAGATACCAATGCTGGCAGGTGGATAAGTAAAATGTGAAGACCCCACCATGCAGCTGTGAGCAAACAATTCCGTAAATGTCAATGCATCCACGCGTATAGAGCTTTAAAAATATAGTGCTGAGTGAAAAGAGAATAATATAAGCAGTACTACTTTTATTCATTAAATACAAATGCAGACAAAAGCATAGATGAGCAAAGATGGTCAATAAACATGTAAGAATGTGTACTTACAGCAAGGGAAAGGGAAGTAGAAGAGCTCATGAATAATAATCAGTGAACAAGTCTATGCAAAAAGAGGTTGGCCCAAACTTATAAGAACAATCTGCCATGCACTGGGCTGTTTGATCAACTCAAACTTTTACACATGAAGTCTAAAAATGAATAGATGACTGAATGAATGAGTGAACAAATTATCAAGTAGATGGGTTGGTGTTAGAATCAAATGGATTTTGCCTATACCACTTGCCGCTTGATTTAATCATTTGGAGGAGCCTATCTTTGCACACATAAAACATAGATGGTAATATTGCCTACCTCAGAAGAAGATCAGTATGAAGGTTAAATTAAATTCATGTAAAGCACTTGGGGTGACTACTGCATAATAAGAGTAAAGTGAATGTTAGAGATCACTATTAGTAATTGAAGGTGATGCTTCACACAATTTAGCAGTTTGGTGGAGATGTACTTACTGTTTGGGGAAAGAGCAATGAGGGGACTTTTAGTAAGACTCCTTTGTCCTTCCAACACCAATGAAGGAGATCAGGGGAAATTTATATTTCCAGGTACCAATTGATTGCTGGTATTAGAACATCCTAAAATGGATGTTGGAAAATGAAGGATCCCCATTGTTCTGTAGAAAAGAAACTCTTCCGATCATTGTGATGAGTATGACATCAGCAGTGTCTCAGAGTGACTCCTCAGGGAACAGGAGCTACATGCAAGGGATCAGTAAAGCAGGCTTTACAAAGGCCCTTTGCTACCAGGCGCTCACTACTCAGAACTATTATGGGGTTTTGCCTAGTAACCATTGTCTGGAATTCCCAGATGGGCAGAAGAAGAAATTAACCTGAGGAGGCTAAGACCAGCTTCTAGGGAGCAAATGGACACAGTCAATATCAGGTGTGCTTCTAGTGGGCTTTCAGGACTGCCACCATGGTACAGGTTTGCTCTATGGTCTTTGCTATTCCCAATATGATGAGAACAAACTGACAGTGATGTAGCATTCAGAAGAATCATGTGGCCACAAGCGAGACATGTTTATTCAAGACATTCGAGCAACGCCACGGTCATCATCTCTGGACTGTCCCTGACATAGTCTGTCCGAGCCATATAGGAACCCAACCATAGTCAAAAGGAGCATGCGTTATGCAAGTTTCCAACTTTCCCATGTTCACAATTTCCCTAATGGACCCTTGAGTATTAGTGTCCTGTAAAAGAAAACAGGGAGTCTTTTAAAAATATGGTTTTTTTTGCTTATTTGGCCATGTAAAAAGTGCAGCAGAAGGCAGAAAACCTTGATTCAGTTAGTAACGTATGCATTAAATAAAACTGGGGTTGGAAAAAGAGTCAGAGCCATTCTCGTGTTTACCCATAGTTTTTCTTTATTTGGCTGCTAAATATAGGGGGGCATTCGTATTGCTGTCATCTTAATAGAAGGCATGAAAGGCTTGAAGCGTGTGTAAGAAGCTGTGGGTAACTCTCTCAGTGCTGGGTTTAGTAGTGTACTGTGATACTATATATCTGCAGCAAACTTTTTTTTTTTTAGTTCCTCTGCTGTGCTGCAGTTCATAAAGGGAGCACTCATTCTGACAAAAATCAAAGTTAAATCTCGCAAGTGGTTAGCGCCGGCATCCTAAAAAAAACTTCACCAGCCTGCATTTTCTCTTTGACTCCAACTTCATTGCTGCAAAATAAGAAAAAAAAATGAATAGATGAGCAGAGATGAATACAATCAGAAAACAAACATCTGAAAAATTTACATGAATATTTGGAGATGCACCTCATGTAAAAATGGTTTTTAGTAGGAGAATTTTTGTTTTTGTTCTTTCAATAGCTGCTTTCTGGTTATGAATAATGGCATAATAAAGACATGCAGCTCTATATTCACATCAGACTCCAGTCTCTGGAGAACTCAGCAGAGACATCTAGCCAAGATGTCCTACCAAGGGTCATGGTGGCTCTGATGGGATGGTGTAGTCTTAAGGGCTAGTACTGCCATCTCTTACCCATAACCTCTCACCCTTCAATTACTGGGCTGTTGCCCTACCTTTCCTGTAGCCCGGACTCATTGACTGCATCAATCTCTAAATCGTAATATTTAAAACAAGGAGGCAAGGTGGATAGAGATTGCATCTCAGCTCTCGGGACAGGGAAGGTTATGAAACATAGAGACAGCAAAGTGCCTATTGTTTTCCCACCCCCTGTACTAGGGAGCAAACTCAGGGTCCTGTGTTTGCTATTTGAGCCACTTCTCCATCCTTTTTTTCTTTATATATTTCCTTTCTTGGCTTAATAATGCTTCTATGTGATTCGATAGTTTTTTTATTCATTGAATCTTTGTGTGTTCCTACTTGATAGGGTTAGACTGTCTGGAACAGATAAGATATACGCAACCAAGTGAATACAGGCATTTGCAGCTCTGAAGTCAGGGCATACAAAAGAAAGCATTAGGGATGAGACAAGAAGGAAGTTTATTTCCAGAACATTAGTCTGATAGAACACTGTGATAGTTGACAGCAATGGAGGAAATGACCAGAACTCTCTATTTCCAGGTGCCAACTCATGTCTGACAATGGAGCATATTCAAATGGCCAGCAGAGAAGTAAGGACATCAGTTGTGTCCCCAAAGTCACCTCTCTCTGATTCACATTGGGCCAGATCATGGGGTGAAGAAGCAGTGGTCTGAAACCTGTGACTTGGAGCTGTCCACGGTTTAAGTACATGGAGGGCAGAAAGGAAACCTAGTAAGGGATGGAGAAGCAGCTAAGCACCATTGTGAAACATGGAATATGCTCTGTATCATTTAGGGGAAATTGCATTTATTAGATTTGAAGAAGGTGGAAAAAGAACACTAAGACTAGCGGTAGCTCCGTTAGTGCATAGAGCACTAGTTCTGGCCCTAAATGACCATCAGTCATGAATTAAATGAGTCATAGCTTTCACCATCTGGGACATATGGGTTTAGAACTAATAAAGGGGGGAAATGACTAAATTGTATCACCTCCTTTATTTTCTGCCAAATAAAAATACTATTAAATTGATTTTATTCAAAGTACCAACATACAGCAGTTAATATTGCAAGGGATTTAGAGAAGTCATCACTGGGCTAACAATAATTAAGTACCAACATACAGCAGTTAATATTGCAAGGGATTTAGAGAAGTCACCACTGGGCTAACAATAATTAAGTGCTATACATTTTATATGCTAAGCATTACATGAATGAAATTAAGCATTACATGAATTTGGATTTTCATCAAAAGCCTTTTTACCCATTTTACAGAGAATGAAATTAATGCTCACGAAGGTTAAATATCATACCCAAGGCCACAGTACTTCAAATAAGCATTAATTTATTCAGTGTTTTTTATTTGTTTTTATTCTTTGCAGTCATGAGTTAGTTTTTTTTAGTCATATCAAAGCGTACATTGAGTCTGGCTTGTGAGATGGTAAACTCTGTCATCACAAGGGTTCAAACAAAAACACATATATGCCACATTAAATAAAATACTGGATGAAATGTCCTCAGAGTTCTATTTCGAATATAATATTTTATGACTAAGTGATTAATTAAGTCAGGTTGAAGCTGAAAAGGCAATTCATCTTCTGCCACCAGGCTGACAAACTCAGCACTGTTTCTTGGTGCTTCCTGAACCAAAGGGCAGATCACAGCAGTTTGTTGTCAATTCAGCTGCTCATTGGAAGTGATCTTTTATGCTATGACTCGCAGAGCCATCATTTTAGACATCTTACAATGTCCTCAAGTCCCTTTGCCAATCCCAATATAAAGTTAAATAACTTGAGAGAAACAAAGATAAACCCTTAACCAAGCTGAAGATCATTAAATCAATCAATAAAGAAATCCTCATCTTCAGACTAACATTCTGGCAATTGAGCCTCAGTATTTTATTGCCAACTGAATGACACACTTATTTGGGTTTTAAGAAACTATGAGTAAGAGAGAACTTAAGACACCTTGAAAACCATAAAAGCGAGTGTCTCTTTGAAGAGAGTCAAATTCCAACTCTGGTTAATAAATGAATGTAGTCTTGTAAAACTTTAAGACAATATTGCAGAAAGCATTTTTTAAAAGAATGTGCTGTGTAAATTGGTTTTTTATTTCCTTTTCATGCAAAACCAAATACTCATGCTTTCTCCTGCCAAATGAAAGCAATGTGATCTCTGAAAGTGTTCTTGCAACCAGACTTCAACAAATCCAGAACCAAAAGCCACTTCGAGGAAATGTGTGCATATCCTTATTAAATGCTATGTTTTCTTTATTCTGATAGAGTTTAAGTGTATTTTGCACTGGTAAGTAACTATTAACTTGGGTGTAAAAACATAAGACATGGCATTTAAATTTATTATACATAAACCAGAAGCTAGGAGAAGTTCAGTAACTAGGGTCCTATAATGTAGCATGGTGGAGAATGCAGGTGTAATGGATTACAGTGAGCACAATATTGAATCTGGGGTCCCAAACACCTGATATCTGGATCTCAGCTCCAAATAGTTTATTAGTCCTCACCTTATTAACTTTATTTGTTGCTCTTGAGAAAATTGGAAATCATCTCCCCAAGCCACCACACGAAGGAGTTATGAATTCTTTTAGTACCTGATGCCTGCTCAGCAATCTGACTTAATACAATAGAAAATTTAATTTTATTGAGATGACTTTGGAAGACAGACTCCCTCAAATTCTAAAATCTTATGCTAGAGTCTACTGAGTTCCTAGAAGGCAAAAATAAATAGGACCTATTTCTTCTTATTGGCTGGTTGAGAGTCATACTTTCTCAGATTTCACTTCTAGGACATGTCAACCAAGTTCACAGACAAATGGGAATTTACAATATGAGCTTCTTTCTCCCTGTTGAAATAAGGGAAGAGATTTCTCTCCCTCCTCTTTTTCTTAAAACATTTCTTCAGAAAACTTGTCAGCACAAATGCTTTCTCCTCTCCTTGAAGTGTTTATAAGTCCTTTTAAAAACTAGATGGGGCTATTGTGAGACCCAGGAAAGTCTTTCCCAAGGACTTAAGAACCATATTTGAATGTAAATATTCAAGGAACATAACATCCCTCTCTTCTAGTTCTCAGGGAGGATATGACCCTAACCTCAGCTGGTGCCCTGTGCTAAGTTGTAAAACCACCTCCTGCCCTAATGATATGTTACTTTTTTCTTTTGTGTAAAATGAGACAGACACAGGTGGTTACCCCACTTATCAGGTGAAAAGTTAGGATGAACTAGTTGTTAAGTGGTACATCATTTCCTCTTGCTTGAGGTTGAATTGGTTTGTTATTCTATCTTGAGAACATGTATATAACAAATTGCATATGTTTGACTTTGTGAAGGGTCTCCCTAAGTTTGCAATTTCCTAGTGGATTGCCTATGATGCAAATTGCATCTGATTTAATGTTTATTCAATAATAAAATGTTTTCTTTGTCTATTTGCTGTGGAAGAGGGCATCTGGGTTCACAGAAACACTCTTCTTTCTTTCTTTTTTAAAAATTGTATTTCCTGAACACACACTAGGACCTTATGCTAGAAAGTGACAGGAAAGTCATTTTGATGGGTCCATGCAAGGCTGGGAATAGGAATATTCTTCCAGATGCCTGGCAAAGGAGCTCTCCATTCAGGTTCCTGTGTTAGGTGCCTTTGGTTTTGAGAGACAAACTCCCCACCAACCACCCCAGCCAGTTGTTTATCAAAGTGTATGGATCTTCTTTTAATAAACAGGTGATAATCAAGATTACAAATTTTGACTGAGATTAGAACCCTCAGCCATCCAAGATTTATCAAAGCTTGATTTTGAGAAATAACATTTTGGGCAATTGCCTGAAAAGAATAGATCAGGCCTATTCCTCTTGATCATTTCATCTTTATTCTTGAATCAAGCTAGAAATAAGAGTGACTTCTATGAAGAAGTCACTTAAATTTTCCTTTCTATGTTCTTATCTGGAGAATAAAGACAGAGGAATGAGGTGCTTATCGTATAAAATCAGTATCTTAAATATTAACAAAGTCTGAAGTTCAAAATAGAATGAACACAAAAAGTTCATATATCACAAAGTAGTAAATCAGTCATAGTCACGTTGCTATCAGAATTGTAACCTTGAGAAACCTCAAATGTTTACCAAAATCTGAAAAGAGAAGGAATAGGACAGCAGGAGAAAGTGTGGGAGGTGGCTCACTGGGAAGCAAGCACGAGACCCTTGGTTTGATTTTCAGCACACAGCCCCCACCACCCAAAATCATTATAAAAGCAGGAGAATTTGCCTAGACTCTGCTTTATGTGCAGATAGTGAATAATTACCTCTCAAGTTGTGTTAACAACAAGTGAGTCTGAAAGGTCAGAATCAAATGCATCTAACCCTGTTTTGGAAATCAGTTAGCCCTCAAGTTGAAACTGAAATAGTCCTGGGGCCTTTAGGAACCAGGTGCTGGAAAGAGTGCAGGTGTGTTCTTATCTCACTTTCCAATATGAATTTCACAATTACTCCTCTAGAAAGAGAAGTGAGTTCTAGAGTGTGCTGAATTCACAAGACAGGATAAATACAACCAGAAGTAATTGTTGCTATTAGAATGCAATTTTGTTCTAAGTAACTTCACTCAGACATCACTAGTCTTAGGCAAGGAGTAGTCTCTTCCCACATGGTATTAATTATTCATTTATTTGGAGACTACTTACTGCATTGGTTAAACAGTGGCAATCTATGAAAGTGACCTTCCTTAAATATTATTCAGTCAGCTGACACAACAGTCAATTGATCACTTGGAGGGGGCTCATCTGTTTATAGGAGGATCCACCAATGGACAAGTATCTTTCATTCATGTGTCATATAAGCTATAAATAAAACATTGTCTGGAATGCTCTGAGCACCCAGACTCAGCTTGTACCAAGTGCTGTCCCGAGTCCCAGCCTATGCAGTCTCCAAACCTTGTGTGGGATGTCAAGGAAAACAGAAAGTATTAGATTTTACTAAGGAAATTACAGTGACTCTCAACACAAAATGGGTCTCTCAAAATTCTCTCTCACAAGTTAAAAGACATGTTATAGCTTCATACCACCGAGCAGGAATATGTAACCCAAATTTTAGTAACTGAAAACATTCACTGAGACAATTTTTTATAATAATCCTTTGCTTTTACTTTCTTTTGTTTATTTGTTTTAAAAAATAAATCATTGATTTGATTAACCACCCTAGGCTGCCAGTGAAGGGCTGTACCCTAAAGTGATGTACACTTGAATCACCTGGGGAGAAGTTAGAACATGTTAGAACCTTTCCCACCACCAGAGCTCCTCCATTCAATGTGTCTGGAGTGGAGCCCTGCTACTGCTGCTTTGTAAAAGTCACTCCAGGTAATTTTGATGTTCAGCCAAAGTTGATAAGGCCTGAGCCAGATGGTAAGTACAACTGTTCCTTTGAGTTAGCTCCCTTAAAATGAATTTATAAATCCTGTGAGACAGGCACCCTGGTTCATGCCTATAATCCCAGTTACTCAGGTCATGGAGATAGGGAAGACAGAGTTTCAAAGCCAGCCCTGCCCCCGCTCCCCACCGCCCAAAAAAGTGAGTGTGGAGGAAGTCACCTGTCATTCCAGCTATGCAGGTGACATAGGTAAGAGCATTGTGTCCTAGGCCAGCCCTGGGCAAAAACATTAAGGCCCTACCTGAAAAATAATTAAAGCAAAAAAGAGCTGGGGACATGGTTCTAGTGGAAAAGCACCTGCCTACCCTAAGTTCAAAACCAAACACCACCAAAGGCAAAAGGAAAGAAAAGAAATGGCATTCCGATTGTAAGTAAAGCAAACCACTATCTTTAGGAAATGAAAGAAAAGCCAAAAAGGGAATTCTGAGGTTCAATCAAGGCTTCTATAATTCTTCATTTGCACAGGGTATATAACTAGAATGGTTTAATCTTTCAGGCTGTGTGATTATAAGACCAGAATTGATTTACAAAAACAGACATTTTTCTCAGTGATGTTTTGTAGGTAGATAAATAACGGAGAAAGGGGTTGGAGAAAATTTTGGGTCAATATTACAGTTGGACCACATATCATAAGGAGTTGTAAGAAGTTGTTAAATTGCTCCCCAGATGTGCCAATGTTCTGGGAATAAAATAAAGCACATTAGAAGCAGAAAATGGCCTTTTGCTTTGTTTTTGTTTCTTTTAGAACAGTTTCTCTGTCACACAATTGTTATGATTTAGCTTTTTCACGACCTCTTGCAGATATTCAATACCTAAATCATTTTTTAAAAATCTTTTCCACTTTCTTAATTTTAAATTTTGTTTACAGGGTTGTGATAATTGATATAAAACTAACTTAAACGCTACATCTACCTTATTCTCTTTGGGAACACAAAATCTTTCATGTTACCTACCATTCAGTAGTACCGAATTCAGCATTTGTTATCTGAAATGGATGCTTTTGTTATTTAAATAGCCAAGTAGTTTCCCCTTATCATGGAGAAACTCTGTCACAATGTAGATGTAGCCCATGTGAACTAGAGGCAAAATTACTGGGTTTTAAATAAAGAAAACATTTTTATATTCATCTGAAAAGTAAAAAATTTATTTAACAGTTCTCCTATTTTTGTGTATATATGTTTGTCTTATTTGTGTTTTTGTACAACTTACCATCATTACAGTGAAAGAGCTAACACATTTGACAAAGGGTTAATATCTTTGCCATGTAAAGGGAGCTTGCTACTCCCTTGCTACCTTACAGAAGACATATATATAGCATAATGCAAAACAAAATAGATAAAAATAAAGACAAAAATGTGGAATTTTTAAAATGTAAATTAATATAAAAATAACTTCCCTTTTAAATTGTCAAATATTTTTAAATATGATGTTAAAAGGCAGAAAGACCCAGATAGCACAGATAGATATTTGGATAGAGAAAGTTAGATAAAAATCTTCATCTAAATTAAGGTCTTGAGCTGGTGGAATGACTCTCCTGTTAGAGCACCTGCTTTGCAAGCACAAGGCCCTGAGTTCAAATCCCAATACTGGAAACAAAAACCTAAATAAAACAAAATAAGGTCTTTAACTTAGATACTGGATGAGGTATAGCAGAGTGCTTTAGTGCACAAACTCCAGGCAGTAGGTCTGGATTCAATTCCCCATTGAGCAAACATACACTTCCCAGTTATTTGGCTTTAGGCAATACACTGATTCCCCTCAGTCTGAGTTTCCTCAACTGTAAAACTGTCATGATAAAAGTACTTAATTTAGAACATTTTGTGAAGATCACAGTGAAGTGTATCACATTCTAACATATAGTAAATTCTCAGTAAATTGCTGCTTCCATTGGGAAGCAGCAAAAACAAACAGAAGTGAGCAGACACTTCTAAACAGCACAGTGGGCCAGGTAGCCATAATTCTTTCTTTAAAAAAAATCTGATTTTTGTTAACATGAAAAAAGTAAGACTGGCTTATTTCTACAACAGATACAACATGGAAATAGGTAAGCAGATCTCCAGCAGTAGCTTAACATTTACCTCTTTAGAATCAAGAGTTTCGTGTTCGGGAATAGCCACCATTGGATGACTCAGCTTCACCGAAAAGATGCCCAGGATATGATCAGGAGTGGACGTGAGGAAAGATACATGTTTAAATTTCATTTAAATAGATAGATAATGACATAAGTACATCATAGCAGAAAATAATATGTTCTACCAAGCATAAATATTAAGATTTAATTGCCATTTAAAAACGTGGAAGACATTTTGGTAGATGGCCAGTACTTTGAGCACAGGTTCATATCTCATTTGTTTTTGTGTTACATGCAAACTCTAACTGGGTTAGAGCATTATATAATATAGAGTATCATTAACTATTTATTGAAAATGGTTAAAAACAGACTGCCAGATTTCACAGATAGGAAACAAAGTTAAATTTATGTTTCAACCCTCACATTACTTCTAATAAGAAAGCTCAAAAGAAAAAGCAACAAATTATGCTGAGACCCACAAAAATGTAGCTACATCTTCTGATAGTACGTATTTACCATGAATGTAAAATACTGTGCATTACTGTGCGTAATAATCATCTTGATACCCAGGGATTTCACAAACAATGCAGTTTCTCCAGATGAAATTATTATAATGTAATTTATAACATAATGACACTCTGACAGAATGGAGCTTATTTTCTTATGTTGGAATTTTTATTATTGCATAGGTCTTCTGAACACTACACAGACACTTAAACCTATTAAAGTAGCAGAAAGTCATCAACATGTAAGAGAGAGATAGACACAAAGAAAGGAGGAGCAATAATTTGCAATGACATCTATTTATCCCTTTTTGGTTTCCTCCATCTCTCCTTGTCCCAACTTTAGGGTAATCACAATATATTGGTTGCCAGTAACATTCCTTATTTCTACTATTCCTGTGGACAAATCCAGGCTATGGCAGAATCCCTTTCACTTTCAACAGGGTCTTACTTTGAGCAATAAACCAAAGGGACAGTGACTTGCTCCAGATTCTTCAGAGCAAGTTCAATGAAGCCAACAACTGAGATTTGACCTGGGGAGGACTCCAACCCTGGCTGCTGGGAAGGCCAAAGAGGTCCCTGCCTGATATCTCCACTGTTCCACCAGACTTTCAGGAATGGAGCCTGCTTTTATTTAAAGTTGCACTTCACTGAATCCCAGCCTTTACACTCTGTTCCCAAATATGAAATCCTCTGTGTCTCATAGCATCAGAACTTCTGGTTGTCCAACACCATTGCTTTAAATAGACCTTTGCCTAAAATAGAAGCAGAGTCAAACAGAGATCTAAACAGCACTCCACAATCAGCTGAAAACACCTGCTTTCTCCTGTTCATCACAGAGTCTGAGATCCTCTGCAGAGCTGAGGAGCAGACACTATGTACTTCATCCTTAAACACAAGCAATTGGTCCTGGACACAACAATCTCTGAAACACCTGGTCTAAGTGATGCAGTATTTATATGAAACATCAGGTTTTGTGCCATATTTAATTTTCATTCTTTCTAGTCTTTTAATACATACAAAGAGAATTATCTGGAGAATTTTAAATATTGGTAATATACCCACTAATAATTAACTGCAATTGAAAAAGCAATCAAGTCATTACATAATAGCTACTTTACACTCCATTTCTTCTTTCCCATGTAAGTATTCATTCATTTAAGTGCATTTCATTGTCATCCTGAATTTCAAAAACTATGTGTTGATTATCCCATCAACAAAGGGAATAAAAACTGACTGATCTTAAATAATTATTATTCCCCAAATTATTCATATTTGGCTTTGGAAGGTTTCCTTCAATTTGCAATCTTTTAACACAGGAGATTGTCTTACCATTGTCCTTCAGCTGAGTGAAATGCATCCTTAATGTCTTGTGAACTTTCTGAGTGTAGTCATAATACTTTATTATGTACTCACATAATAAATTATTTGTATGCATTTGTTCATTTAGTTTCTTTTTGTTGTTCTTGTTGTCAATTTTTGTTTTATTTTTTGAGGCAAGGTATTGTTATGTAGCCCAAGGTAGCCTGGAACTCACTAGGAAGCCCAGGCTGTCCTTGAACTTGTGATCTTCCTGCTTCAGGCTGCTGAGTGCTGGAAATCCAGGCATGCCACCAGGCCTTGCTGTTCATTTAGTTTTTGCCTATGTATTAGCCAGCTTCACAGATGAGGAAACTGAAGCACTAAGAGACAGGGCATTTATTAAAGGTCCAGAAATAGTAAGTGGGGAGTCATGACTCTGGTGACAGTTTCCAGAGACTGTGCTTCCAAGGGAATGTGGCTTGGTTCTATGCCCCTGGGAAGAGATACAGGAGAAGGAAGTGAGGTGTGCCATTTACTAAAGGGAAGAGCCTCATAGTAAAGCCAAAAGTGACCCATTGAGACAGTGGCTGGTGTAGCTGTGAGAGGCCACAAAGGAGACATGACACAATGCAGCTTGCATATCGACAGAATCAGAGGCTTAAACCCTTCAACTGGGAGAGTCACTGGGCATAGGACATATCTTCACTTTGAAAAAGTCACTGAGAGAGATGTACAAAATATTGATGGGGAATTGGAAGATATTTAAGTAATCTGTAATTGAGAGAGAGAGGGAAAGAATGAAGGAAAGAAGGAAGGAAGAAATGAAGGAAGGAAAGAGGGGAAGGAGAGAGGTAAGAATGGGCAAAAATGTTAAATGAAAATACTGCCTAAGGGAATAAAGTCATGTTTTTCTGAGTGTGTCTTGCCCTCCTACTTTCTAGGATGAGCAAAAAACAGCAAACAGATGTGTGGATTAGGGAAGAAAAACTGGGAACATTGAAAGAAATAATGTTGACTGCTGAAATCTCTGCTAAACATACATTTTGTAATGCATGGGAATAAAGATGTCAAATGGGGAGGGCAATAAAGCATGGCATAAAAATCCTATCACAGTCAGAATTGTAACAACAAAACAAAAATGTAAGTTGTACATAAGTGGATGACTTGCTACCAGAGAGTAGGTGGATACTGGAGCACAGAGGGTCTTCCAAGGCTATTTATTTGGTGAGTATTCTGGAAAACAAATTACTATTATCCCACAAAGAAAAAAATAACTGAAAAGTTACTAATTTATCATCAGAACACTGTTCAACACAGGATAAATGAAATGCAAAGGTAGATAAAATAAGACAAACACACTTTCATCTTGGATCCAGTCCTACCTACAGTATAACAGATTAACTAACCTTTGCCCACTCATCCCTGCTACATAATCAAATTATGTTTCAAAAACAAACCTTCAGTTGGTTTTTATGACACTCTTGAGCACAGCTGCCACTAAATTAACACAAAGCCTTGTGAAGTGTTGGTTACACTGTGGGGTTTCTCACAAACACTCTGCTTCTCTAAGGGTAATATGATCTTCCATGACAAAGACCGCTAAAGAAACAAAATTCCCTCAAGCCAGATGGAGAGATGAGAATCCAACTCAAAAATATATAAAAATACGAAGCAGTCACATGTAACCTACATGAGAAGTAGAATTAAAGCTCTCGTGCTCATGAAACACGTCTTGTTTGAAGAAGATGTTGCTTTTCTTGAATGACAGAAATTCCAAAGTGTTGCAGGAAATTTTAACATTTTAAAATTATCAAAGGAACTCAGTCCCTTCAGAATTTACTTGTTTGGAATTCCTTTATTTTGTTCAGTCAGTCACATCCTCTTGTAAACTTCCTCCACACCGTTTGTCTGTTGTAATCTGCACCTTCTACTCCTGTCTCTATGCATAGAGCTTAGAACTACTCAAGTTAAAGTATGACCTTCTTAAGAATACCTCTCACATGCAGATGTGAAAAATTATTACAGCAATACCTACAGAAAACATTGCCTGTTTTGCACGTAACTTGTTGTTGTGATGTAAGCCACTGGAAATCCTGAATTGTGCTATCCATCTTTAGGTATTCTGTACCCAACATGGGCCCCCATGAAGAGATACTATTTGAATAGTGAGTGAACAAATCAGTGAAAGAAAGAGTGAATGTGATGGTTAGAGGAAAGAAACTGGGCTTTCTGACTGACTGCCAAAATTAAAGAATTCTTTTTGCGTGTGTGATGACCACTGGGGTTTGAACTCAGGGCCTTGTGCCTACAGGTGCTCTACCACTTCAGCTATGCCCCCAGCCATTTAGTTATGTTTTCAGATAGGATCTTGCATCTTTTGCCCAAGCCCAAGCCATACTGAATCCCCCTATTTACACCTATCCCATAATAGGATAACAGCACTGGCATGCCCATTTATTGATAAAGATGGGTCTTGCTTACTTTTTGTCTGAGCTGTCCTGAAATCACTATCTTCTCCATCTCTGTCTCTCAAATAACTAGGATTACAGGCACGAGCCACCATGCCCCACTAAAGAATTCTGAATTAGTGAAGAACTAGGAATTATTGACTGCATTCCTAAAGGTATCCTCATTTATATAAGACTTTGCACATTGGAAACACAAGTTGAACCATTACACAAGTGAGTTTGGGTTAATCCTCATAATTCTTTTGCTTTAAAAAGAATTATTTGTCAGTGTTTAGATCCTGGTATTATTATTATTATTAGTATTTCTGGTTTTTCCTGAACCATGTGAGGGTTGTGATCTTCTGGATCTGTATAGCAGCCTGCCCTGGTAGGCAAAGATGAAGCTCCCCATGTCAACACAGCCTTCAGTATTTTTTCTACAAGGAGCCCAAACATTGAGGTCCCCTATTATGATGCTTGTACATATGTACCTGGCTTGCTTCACTTATTTTGAAGATCTGCCTGGCCAAACAAAGCATTGGAGTTTTTTAGACCCTGATTTACAACATGTTACAGTACACAGGAAACACCCAGGACATCTTATAAATTTCAGATTCTAACACAGGAATGGGGGAAAGGCCTGAAATTCTGCATTGCTAAAAGGCTCTTGGGCTGGGTAGTGAAGCCATAGCCAATGTCCCTGTATGAACAAATGGAACTAATATGCCTCAAACATTTACCTGTTCACACTTACAATTGACCATATTCAAAATGTCCTAATCAGTTGAGTTGTATCGCAGTTGTATAATTAAAATTTACCACAGATCTTACTTTGTTTGATGTCAGGGACATAGACCTGAGTTTGAAGACTACAGTCTAGTGGGAGAGACAAAACTAACTATCTAGTCAGGAGTACATAAATTCAAACAGAATAATGTACTAGGAAATGAAAGTACTGAGTGTGATGAGGACTCATTACAGATAAATCTGACCCAGTCTAGAAAGACAAAGGGAAAACTTCCCAAGCACTGTAAATTCAAAAGATAAATTACCCAATAAGCATAAGAAATATGAGGAGAGCAAATAGAGTTAGTTGCTACAAAGAGATTATATTTAGTCTGATTGGAAGACAGATAATTCAGAGTCAATGCCCACCATGAATGGGAAAGGGGATGTCAGAGATGGAGATCTCAGAATCACTGTGCAGGTATTTGCATGCAGCAAACACACTCTAGATTCAAAAGAGTAAGCTCTTGAAAATGCTTGCTAAATGAATGAATACTGGCAAATATGCATCAGTTTCATTTCCCAAGGAGACTGCAAGCTTCTTGATGATAGGGCTCACTTCGTCCCAGCAGTTATGCACCAAACATGACTTGATTTTAGAATCTTTCTTTATTGAGGCAGTTCAGGGAAAAGGTGGCTTCAGTGACAGTCAGAAATATGTTACTCTTATCAATAAGAGGATTGGCTATATATCCTAAAGATTCAATTCGCATTAGCTAAATCATGTTAAGTGAAGTAAGCCAAGTTCAGAAAAACAAAGGTCATATATTTTCTCTCATATGTAGAGACAGATCCAAGTACAAATACAAGTATTATTATATTATCATATATATGAGATATCTATCTATCTATCTATCTATCTATATCACGTTTCCAGTAGTGTGGCAGTTAGAGGAGACTAGGTGAGGAGGAAGGAGGGAAAGAAATAATGACAGTATGCATAATATTGAATACATCTCATCTGTATAGGAACAATGAAACCCTGAAAACTGTTAAACTATTGCTCAACAGGGTTAGGAGGAAAAGGATAGGGAAGAGTAATAGAGGGGTTAAGGGTAAGGCTAATTAAAGTACAATATATTTACAAGTAAAATACCGAGGAAAAACCCCACTGAAAAATGAGTAGACATTTAAACAACGAAGGATAGGAATGTGAAATAGCTCATGTTTAAAGGAGGGTAATAGCAAGAGGGAGAGGGTAAATGAAGAGATAAAGGAGGGTGAATATGGTTGAAGCATCTTCTACACCTGTGAATATGAACACTGAAACCTGTCCAAGTCATTTTAAGAAGGGAAAAGGGGAAGAGGGAGAATAATGAGATGATGGACCAAACCAGGGTACATTGTACACATATGTAGCAATGTTACAGCAAAACACCCAGTACAACTATTATATACTAATAAAAATGTTTATAAAAAGATATTATAGGAGAACATTGGCACATAAATATGTGGGTATAAATAGATGTTATAGGAAAAAGATATTATAGGAAAACTACTTGTTTTTAGAATTTTAACATATAGAATCTATTTTTGATGATGCTCAAAAATTTACAATTTGTTTATTCCTCTACATCTCTATGTGATTCAGAAAAATCACTTTGTATTTAGGCTGCAGATTCCTTATCTTTAAAATCTGGGGTCTAAGGGAAGTTTTAGGGTGGAGAAGAAAGGGTAGTAGGGTGAATATGATCAAGATATGTTAAATGCATGTACGGAAATGTCATGATGATATAACCCATTACTTTGTACGGTGCATATGTGCTAATAAAAAACTGTACTCAAATTGACATGTTCCAGTTCCTCTTCTATTTGGCTAATTCATTGGTTATATTATCCTTAAGCAAAAAACTATTGGTTGATAAATGATGCTTTTTCAGAATGATCTTTCCTTTGAAATGTCCTGCTCTGAGCCATAGCTAAGGTAGAAGTTATGCCCATAGCAGTCGTAAAATGAGCTCCCCAGAGAATATAACCTTGGATTCTTAATATCAGTTCTTGCTTCTGCCATTTGTTCTTCGTATGAGCTTTTGTGAACACTATCCAGTTTCACAACCTCCTTTGTGTATCCTGGGTAGCATCACGCGCTCAGTTGACAGTACATGTGAAGTGACCCACATCAGTTGGCACTGCTGACTACTGATCACTTGTCTTTTCATAGTGGAGTCTAAATTCTACGAATATCAATTAGAAAGCAAGTTTTCTGCTCTGATTTTTAGAATAGGTCTTCTGATAAATAACAAAAACTTGGTCTTTCTTCTTCCATTCTATGAGGTAAGATATAGAACCCGCTAGAATTCCTTAGGCCCTGCTAGACAACTTTCTAAAGATATCATAATGGAATTGTTTTCTGTAGAATGATGTTCAGCCTGATTAAAAACAAATAATATCTCCTTTTGTTTACTCACATTTTTTCCCTAGAGCTATTTCTTTCTCAACTAGAAAACCACTTCTCCAAAGGATTAACTATAACACTCAGTTTATTAGTGCACAGCTCCCAAGCTGTAATGAAAATGGAGAAAAATCTGTATTCAAACACAATTTTAGGACTCAAAATAAATTAAAGAAGTCGAAAGTGTTATTGACAAGGAAATATACTTCTTCTCCTTGTCTATCCTTGAAGGCCACAATTAGTTGCTTAGTACTACAGACAAAACATCATTTTCAATTGTGTTCAATATCATACTAATTTAGTAAAATCATAAACCAAATATCTATTTCTTCACAAGAGATAATATTGGTAAATTGCTTTGTCTCTCTATTTTTCATCTGCTATACAATAAAAGCAATATTAGCATTTATTCAAATGTGACATAAAATACAAAACAAATGGCTCTATATTAAGATTGTCAATTTCATAAATTCTTTCAGTTTCTGACTGCTTTATTCTCATTGTCAGCCAGTCCCTCTAAATTGTGGGAAATATCTCCCAAAGCCCAGCCCTGTGTCAACAGTTGTTCACTGAGGTATCATGAGGATTTGGAGGAGTATTTAAGAGGAGAAGTAGGTAGGAACATGACAGGATCAAGCTATACCCCATCCCATTAGACCTCTATCAGACCCCAGACATCTATGCTAACAACGCACTAAAGCAGCATCATTAGGGATGTGAGGAAGTAAGGGCAGTGGTGATGGAGGAGGAGGAAGGTGTGTGAATGGCCAGCTGAGACATGATCTGAGCATCGAGTCCTCCCT